CGTTTCATCATCTCGCGAGGACGACCTCATTGAGGTAGAGGAGGAACCACTGGAGGAGCCAGAGGGCTCCAGCAGTTCCATGTCTGTGAAGAAGCCCAGCAGTGAGGGCTCAGTTGCTCCACCCGAAACAGCACCGCTAGCCGCTTCCGCATCCGCGAAGGATATTAAGGGAGTTCCCAGCCTAGGAGCTCTGGACACGCTCACGGCCACATCCAAGTTGACGGGTGTTACCAACGAGGTCGAGGGCGAGGAGGAAGGAGAGGAGGAGGACTTCGATGTGCAGTTCGTCTACTAGGGGGATCTGAAAATGGTGTTTACTTATGGTTCCAATTTCGTTGAGTCATGAATAAATGCATGCTTGTGTGCAAAGTCAAAAGAAGTATTGTTGTTTCGCCTAAATTCCTAAATGTTTCCGAAAAATATAAATATCTTACATTTGCAACACTAGAAGATAATATCTAAACTGTTGTCAAACGATTCGTCACTACTCGGACGGCCTCGGTGACATTAATTTACTCTTTTGATAATAATCCATTTCTTCCTAAGTAATATATTAAACCTAATGATAAACTTGCCATTACAATGTTTTTAGGGTCCTTCGGTTGAGACCCAGAAGTGCGGCAAAAGCATCGCCGACACGTGGGACTGCATTTACGAGACCTCAGGTACAGTCATCACCAAGGAAAATAGCACCGAGGTGAGCCAGGAAATTGGACCAGGATGTCGTTGCGGCTGCATTGTACATCTGGGCTCTTCGAAGCCCAAAAGGATCATTGCTGGAGCCACACAGAGTTGTCCTGGCCGCTCCTTCTGGCTAATACAGGTACCCACTATTAACCAAACCCATAAGAACCCCTCAACTTCCAAAAAAGTGTAGGAAATAGCGAACGTTAAGTGAGGCTACCCTTTGGCATTTGGTCAAGTTTTGAAAGCTTTCAAGTTGCCTGCCGCCATAACTATAAAAACGAACAATGCCAAACACTCAGAAGTCCAAGTCCATGAATAAAATTCCGCTACGCTTCGGAGGCTGCCCCAAAATGACAAAGGAGCACCCACTCAATGCTCCATGCCACAGGGAAGTGTGGCTCCGATCTGGGATGGACATCCTGGCCAAAGGGGGCTGAACTCAATTCATGCATAATAAATGCCCCACTTGGTAGGCGTTTTGGCCAGTCCCGAAACTATCAATGCGTAAGGGGTCCAATGGGGGTGAGCTGAACTTTGTGTACTCAGTATTTTTGGTAGCAATGGGTATCCCCATTCTTGTGAAAGGAACATTTAAGAACAATTATTGGATGCAAACAATAGGATTGTATTCAAGAGCATCTTAGAAGAAAAGGAAACATCTTGATTTGGAAACATTTATTTGGCATTGGTTAGAAAAATGGTTATATAAATATATTAGTTCGAAATCACTGCAAACAAAGCAGAAAGGTAAATAAGCAGAGATTATTAGGAAAAAGAAATAAATTTTACATAAAAGGGTGAAGTAAATATATCGTATTTATTATATTATAGAACTAGAAAAAATTAAAAAAACGAAGCAAAATAATACACTAGGTGCAGTAAAAAGTATGAAAGCTTTTATATTTTGTGCGACTATATTTTAACGAATATTTTCTGAATCAAAGGGTATCACATGAGAGAGCAATCGACTTTTCCATTCACACACTTTGGCTCACCCCCTTTTGTGTTCGATACAATTGGAATGATTAGACCTGCCAATTGGTACGTTCGAGGCATGAGGGGAATGTGCCGATGGGCAGGAGGCTTAATGGTGATGAATGCCTGACCCACTTCGGCAGCATCCGCTTTTCCGACAAGGGGGGAAACCCCAAGCCAATTGCCCGTATGCTCACAAACAGAAAATTCCTTTCTTCACAGGTGGATGGTGAGGAAAGCATTTCCCTGGCACTGAGTTTCCTACGTTTGCCTTGTGCCACCCAGTACATAAAAGTGCGCGATGGACCCTCGCTTTCGTCCACTCTTCTCGTGGAGCTCAATGGCGGTGGGCTGATCCTCAAGGGAGCTGGGGTTCCGGTGGCCGTCGATTCCACTGGTGGCCAACTCCTAGTGGAGTTCTTTGCCGGCGATGGGCAGGCGGGCAATGCCACTCAGGAGGCCACTGCAGCCTGCACCGGAGGATTCATGGCTAATGTGCAGCAGCAGTTGGGTGAGAAAAACTTTGATGCATATTGAAGGAGTTTAATAAATAACTCAGTTCATTATTCAACAGCTACAAGGAGCAGCAACAGTAGTACCACACTTGTGGCAGCCACTCGTTTGTCTGGAAAAACTCGCTCTGTTTCCCACAAGTCTATGTCAAGACTTCGATTTACCCTGGTTCATCTAAGTGCCATGATCTTTGCCAGCATCATCATCATAATAAGCTCGCTCTTAGGTGGGTTTTTGTAATAATTGTATAGATATTATGATTGATATCACCTCATCTATCATCTGCAGGCGCTCAATATGTGGTGCGATACCGGAAGTATCACCTGGCAGTTGCTCGCCGACAGGACGAAGGATCGCGCCTTCATACTCCTAGAGCTTCGCTAAGTTCGCTGCAAGGTCCTCCTTCACGTGCCATGTCCACAACTACTCTGCTTTCGGAGGTCATTTACATGGTCAAGATGCGGCCCAAACACCATCTGCGACACTCCATTCTCCGCGAGAGCGTGGACGCGGAAAATCTGACCAACGAAACGGAGTTCAAGGAGTCGGATTCACAGGGAATGCTGGCGAAATGGTAAGGCTAGAGGAGAAGTGGAGAGGAGGAAGAGGAGAAATAGAGCTAATTATGTCCGTTGCAGCGCGGAAATCAAGGAGCTGGGAAGCTCGGCCTCCATGGTGACTCTGCGCAATGAGAGATCGTCACCAGCGCGATCTCTGGATACTGGAAGTATCATTGGATCACCTTCCTCTGCTGAAGCCGAGCTGGCTGCAGTTCACAGCAGGACCGATTCCAAGGACTCACCCACGGATGAACCATTAGAACCGCCGAGCTGTAAGGACAGTGCCAAGGATTCGGAGTCCATCATATCCTCAGGAATGAGTTCCCTGTGCAACAGTCCGCCGATGAACAGCAAGCGGCTCAGCAAGTACTCCGATCGCTACGATGCAGTGACCCTGAAGTTGCTGTCTTCCAGATTGGATGAGAGCCTGCAGGATGCCAGCTCCCTACTCTCGGTGACCGAATCCCTCAGATTGGGTCGCCTGCGAACCCGAAGTGTCAGCTCTTCCCTGACGAATGTGAGTTAAGAGGTTACACTGGAATGTTTTCAGCTAAATAGTAATAAAAGTAGAAGCGTTTACTAATAGTTTAATGTTTCAGGGTTGCTATTCACCAGCTGCCAGTGTGGTAAGCACGGCGACCATCAGGACGACCAGTAATCCCAAGGAGTCCAAGGAGAAGCAGAATCGAAGGAAACTGCTGGCCAGACCGGGCTCAGAATTTTCGCTTGGAAATCAAGAAGAACTGGAGATGGATTACTACGATTACAATGTGATCAATGCAGGATCGGCACCGGGCTCCTATCTTGGAATGGATCCGGCCTACCTCATCTGGATACCACCATTCGAAGAGGTGGCGGAGCGGGAAGAGGACGATAAGACACCAGAACCGGAGGAACCAGACCCCGAGAGAGATGAACGGCAGCCGCTGTATGAGGAGATCCGGATGCCCAAGTACGGACACTACCTAAGTCCAGCCAGTAACACGGAGTCCAGCAAGTCCACTACGGCTGATAATACACCCAGCTCCGAGGAGAGATCCCCACCAGACAGTGGGCGACCCTCCAAGGCCACCTCGCCCTGCGATGGAACGGAAAGGGGTGGGAGATCCATGCCCAAGCAACCCACCCCTTTCCTGTCCAGAAAACAGAGACGCCATTCCAAACAGCAGATGCACTCCAGGTTGTCCTTGAGTGCTGGTTCACTGGATCATGAACAGCGACGTAGCAGTAAAGTTCCAATCGAAATGGCTGCAGTGCATCAGAAAGTGGACACCGAACTGGAACCCAACGAATCCATGACTGGGTCTTATGTCGAGAAGGAAACTGCCGTGGAGAAGTTATCGGGGGATCTGCAGGAGTTCTTGTCTCTCGATGATATTCAGTTTGCCGATGAGAGTGGCAGCGATTACGAGGCTGTAAACCTCAAGAAAGTACCCAAATCGGAACTCCAACTAAAAAATGATGATGCTCGATCCAAACTCTTGCAAAGAAAAGAGCCCAAGTCAAAGGAAATGGCTGTATAACACCAAGATGTTATTGTACATAAAACCAGCACAAAACGAGCATTATACGTTTAGAATAGTTTTCGATCTTGTAAAATACGGGTAAATAATTATAATATACGAGTATACATATGTCAGCACCATAAGAAACGTAGACCACCTGGAGTAGTTATGTTTTTAAAGCTAGGATTAAAGGATTAAATATCGTCTCAATAATATGTAAACTGAAAAACGAAAAGAATGTAGAGCATGCTCGTCAGGCTAATCTGTTTAATCTCCGTTACACTGTATATAAGTTAGCTAAGGCTCACTGTAGTTTAAGTATTTATTCGCACTCGGCTATGTACACAACCCAGTTATGAGGAAATATTGATTTAATTAATAGATTTTATGTGGCAATTACTTGGACTTAGAGAATTGGAATTACGAAATTTTGTGATCTTTATTTTGTGCTTGAAAGCATTGGAAATTCTAGTCAATATATAGTCAAAATTAATTAGCAGTTTAAAATCAAAAATGTTTTTGTTTCTACAAGATTTAAAGCCTTTCTATCACCCCGACCTGTAAGACAAGAAAATGAATAAAATAAAAAATAAAATAAGATTGTTCGTGATTAGTTTTCGGGTGGGAGATCTATTGTTAAATGTTACTATAGTAATACCACGCAAGTTGACTTTGACAACAGAAACATTTATTTTTACTGGCTTTATAAGTATGCGAATCTGTCAAAAATGATTGTACTTTCTTGCCAAATTCGCATGAATTATAGAGATATGCCTTAAATGAATCATTGTTTTTTAAAAGCAAATATTAGAACTACTCTCCCTGTGAAAACTAATAGATTTACTCCTTCTCAGAAGAGTAATAGACTTAGTTTCCCTAGGAAAATTAGTTAAATTACTTGTCTTAGCATTGCCGAAAAGAGTTATGCTACTTTCCAGAGAGTATAGTTCTTTTTTGCCGAGATCGTGCATGTTAATACGTCCAGTTTTATTGTTTAGATCCTCGGGCAGAAAGTTACAAGATTTAATACAGGGCTCTTCCATTCTCGCTCGGTATGCCAATAATTCCCGACGCCTCTGTTCTTTTCTCATCTTCTCCATGAAAGGTGCTTCCTTTTCACCCTGATTTCCTCTTATAGTTCGACATATAATGCAGGCGGTGTTTCTCGAAACGGGCTTTTCACTTTTTATCTGATCATCTGGAGGTCTTGGAGTGGGCCTCGAATTTTCCTTAATTCCCTTAGATACATTTGGACGCTTGACTTCTGTGATGATCGTCTTGTTTTCATAGATTTCTGCATACGGGTACAGCAGTAAATCGCAGTCATAGATTCCTTCGAAGTCGATTGAGGACTCGTCTGCATTATCGAGCACGCTATGTCGATTAAGAAATTGCTTTAGTTTTAACAACCTGTCCTGGTACAATTTCGATGTCGAATCAATGCTGTTTTTTCGGCTTTTGAGGTTTAACTTTTCTATAAAGTTTTTGCGATCCAAAGACCTTCGATTCGCCGAGTAGATACTGCCGCTCCTGAAGGAGATTTCATCCTCAATGTCATTTGAATGCTCTTCGTAAGGAAAAACTGCTGACGATTCACCTTCGGCATCAATAGAATTCATTGGCGTTTCAGGTACGGATTCGTGCCGAAAAAACTTTGATCTTTGTTTTATTCGAGACACATTAGATGGCGTTTTTGTTTTAGTCTTTAAGTAATCAGTAGATAGAGTTGTATAAGCAGTGTTCTCTTCAAAATTATCTTTCGGTTTCGTTTTATGCGCGGAAAATTGTGAAGTGCCATCATCTAGCTTCTTTGCTATTATTTCAGCCTGACCTGTGGGTTTTCTAGTAGTTTTGGGCCCATTTCCTACATTTAGGATACTATTAAAGGGATGATAATCACTTGACTTGGAAACTATATTTTCTTTTGCTTGCGCTGTACTGCTGTTGATTCCCAGCTCATTGGATGTTATTGACATTTTACTAATAATTTTATGCAAATTATTGGCAGTTGTAGAATCAGCTGTGTTTTCAATTTGGTGGTTCACTCTAAGCGCATAGATATTCTTATTAGAATGACCTAAAGCGAATGTCCGGTTCTGATAAAAACGCTTTTTTGATCTTCCTAGAAAATAGGAATCTGTAATTTTCGGTACTGATGTGAGGATTTCTTCCCGATTCTTAGACTGATTTAATTTCATTTCCTTGATCCTATAGATCTCCGTTCCAGAACGCTTACTACGAAGCGAAATATCTGTTTTCCCTTTTGAATTTCTTCTTCGAACAATATATATTGTAATATTTTTATCGGCTTTAAATGGTATTAGCTTAGAAGCCTCTTTGGAATTTCTTTTTTTCTTGCCAGATTCTTCTTTGGAATTTCTTTTTATATCACTTGTCCGTTCAGCTCTCTGCTCAGGCTTCTCCTCCAAGTTTTCCAGCTCCTCAGTGGAACCCTTTTCGACCATTTGACCATCTTGATCTGGAAGCTGGGTGGAAGGAAAATTTGACTTAATCTCGGAACTTGCATTGAATGGTTCTCTTTTTATACTTCTCTGTCCTCTATCCTCTCTATCTCTAATTCTATCCGGTAATGGCCATAACTGTTGGATTGTTTTGTCTTTTTCGGATTTCGAGTTGCCTTTGTGCTTATTTTCCCTTGTTTGAAATGTGAATAACTGCGTCTTTGAACTGCTTAATTCTGTTAATTTCGGCTTAGAAGAAAACATTGTCCTTTTGGAATCCAAAAGCTTATTCATTTTGTCTTGAAGTTGGTTTGCCTTTTTCTTCGAACTCTTTGATTCCGTTAACTTCGGCTTAATCGGATGCGTTGTCCTTTTTGAGTCCGAAAGCTCATTCGTTTCTTCTCGAAGTTTGTATGGCTTTTTCTTCGAACCCTTTTTTTCTGTTAACTTCGATTTAGACGGATGAGTTGTCTTTTTTGAGTCCGAAAGCTCATTCGTTTTTTCTTGAAGTTTGTAAGCATTTTTCTTCGAACTCTTTGCTTCTCTTAACTTCGGTTTAGACGGATGCGTTGTCCTTTTTGAGTCCGAAAGCTCATTCGTTTTTTCTTGAAGTTTGTATGGCTTTTTCTTCGAACTCTTTGCTTCTGTTAACTTCGGCTTAGACTGGTGGGTTGTTCTTTTTGACTCCGAAAGCTCATTAGTTTTTTCGCGCAGTTTATTTGTCAAAGAGGTTGATTTGCAAGATCTGCCTTTACCTCCTTTGGTTTCAGTTGCCACAGGACGAACTTTATAGACTTCCACCACAGGAGGACTCACAGAAAATGGCTTTTGTTGCTCTGGTTGCTTTTTAAGTTGAGGTAGTCCTTTGTATTGAGTGTGAGACCTCACTATGTCGTATATATCATTGTAAATGATGTCGTCTTTCAAAACGGATTTAAATTTGGCGTCGATGCTTTTACGTTTGATTGTGGATCTCTGTGAAACGCATGGCTGATCTTGGCTGGCTTGAAGAATTTGATAAAAGGTATTCTTCTTGACTTCCCTAGCATTACCTCTGGATGCACATTGTCTTCTATTTTGGAACACGAAGGACTCAATGCCGGCTAAAGGAACCTCCGGTGGCGAAGTGAATACTTTTCCAATAAGGACACCCGTATTCCTTTGGCAAGTCGGCCAAGCAAGCGTACTTTGATCAAATTTCTGAATGCTGTACAGAACATTCGAAATCGAATTGGGTAGATATTTGGCATTTGGATTTAGGGGAATTGGATAATGAAGCCTCTCCATAAACGAGCAATTTGGATTTTAAAACTCGGGGAATGAAATTTTGATTCCGTTTTTATACGATATTGGGTAATTTATTGATAAATTGATACTAACACCATAGGCTTACTAAGTATATATTTATAGGCATAGCATAAATTTGTATTGCTTTTGAAGGCCGAGGAGTTGAAGAGGATCTTTTCGCACAAAATGTATTCTTTTCAATTACCTACAGAAATATTACCCACCTACTATAAATCGAATCAATTGAATAATATTAATATACAATTTTCGTAGGGTATTGAAATGATAATCTTTTAGTAATAGAATGTTGGAAAATAAATAATAAACTATAATAAATATATACCAAGACCCAGAAATATTACGTTTCATGCGTTATTCAACATATTTATTAATAAAGTTCCAGGAAAATAGTCTGTCTATCGATGAAATGTGGCTCAAAATACAAATAGGGTACAGGTGCTTATTATAGTAGATTTAGTACATTAGTATAATGGTAATTGATGACTGGCGTACTTTATTTTTATTTGAGTGCCAACAATAGGCTAAGTTTCTTGGTCCTGTAGTGCCTTTGAGAAGCGTTTTAGTATTAATTTTGTATAGGTACTCGATTACGATTTTGTGGTTATATTGATTATGTGTTAGGGGTCAACTTCTAATATCGCATACCCCCTCCCCCACACGCAAAAATCACTTAGCCTAAAGTATATTTTGTTATTTAATGGAAGTAAACTGGTAGTAATAGAAAAATGTCCTTTTGCGTTGTTTTCTTCATGGGTAACAATTACCTTAATTTTTTTTCACTTGTGTGTAACAACTGAAAATTATGATATGGATTTTGAGAGCATTTTAGAATTTGCTTTTAAATACTTGTGCAAAAGCATGGTCCATGAGAGGTACACTTTATATAACTTTTAACACTTCGCTTAACTGTTTCCTTTTCAGTAGACTTTATAAAACGCAAGGTGGATCAAAAGCTTCATATTTATTAAAATCTATATTTTTTCAACGTCCCTTTATATGTATTATATAAATATCAATTCTAAGCAATTATGTCTTATAATAATCTTTGTTTAACATTGCGTTATAGATTCAAAGGTAACACTTCGTTTCTGGCAAGAGAAGAATAGTGTCTTTTAATTAAAAGTTTGTTTTTGATTGCTAACGTGTCATTTTATAAAATTTTAGAACTAGCCGTAACAATATATAAAATTTATTGTTGATCCCTTGGGCCTAAACTTTTTCGTTAGATACAAAATTAACGTTTATGTTTTTTGCCTATACTTTTATATAAAGTGCTGGATTTTTGATAGTATAAATTTGACGTAACTTTTTGTCTTAATCTTATTATTTTCTGTAGTTTATAACGTTATTAATTCCATTGCTAATAGAGTCTCAACATAGCTTATACAGTGGATAATAAGATTTTTTATAATTAAAAATTATTCAAATCAAAAGCGTAGGGGAATGGCCAGTATATTTGCTAAATATTTTTGCTTTCGCAGAGATCTTAGAATTCATAATTTTTCCATCTAATTCGATTTCGTCTTTGGTATTTTTAACTTGACTTTATAAAAATGTTAACACTCGCTTTCACCACATGGTGTGTATAAAATTATGATTTAAAAGCAAATGAGCCTTAAATGCTTCATGTACATTAAATTAAATCCGCGATGAGCACTTTGCCCAAAAACGATAATGATACTTCGCTGATGATCTTCCGGTACTTGACCTTAGGACTTCTTAGGATCGATTACTCTAGACTCACAGTCCGTGGGATCGATGTCGTGCTCCACAACCAGCGTGTTTTTTGAGATCTTGTCAGCCAGGAGAGTCACGGGATCGGTGGCGGTTTTAGCCACGGAAGGTCGGCCAGTTGAACGCCTCCTGATGTTTTCGTCCTGCTGCTCCTTCCTGTGCAGGTCACTCAGCCTGAAGGCTTCCAGGAATTCATTCAGGTCCACTTTGCCATCTCCATTGAGGTCCATCATTCGGCATTTCTCCAGCATTTCCGCCTTGGAATAGGCACCTGGCATATGAGCCACCAGCAAGTCAATGGCAGTTTCGAACTCATCTAGGGTAATTTCGCCTGGAAATTATATATAAGACTCTTAATGAGTTTCAAAATCCTGAATTTGTATACTGCTCACCCGAATTATCCGCATCAATTATATTAAAAATGGCAACTAAGCTGGCTTTGTTGGCATACAAGGCATCCATCACTGACATGCCATCCGCTTCAGCTTCGAGCTAGAAATCAATCGAATGAATAAATTGTAGGTGTGAAGTGCGGCTGTACTCACAATAACATCCGTGTCCAGCAAATCCAACGTCCTATTATAATTAACCTTCTGACTGTCCGTTCCTGGCGCCAGCTTATCGCGAAGGAGGCGCCAGGGCAGCCCCAACTTGGTGACATTCTCCATCACCTTGCACCACTGCGATATGGATATATAGCCACTATCCTTGGGGTCATACTTCCGGAACTCGTCCTCCAACTCATCCCGATGATCGCGCATTCGCACCGCCAACTCCTTGAGTGCCGAACTCTCCACAATGCCCATTCGCTGTTTGAAGGACAATCGCTTGGTCTGCGATGCCGCCGATATGTACTGGACGAAGTGGGGCATCAGCTGGTTGTTCAGGCGGATGTAGGCACCCTTGTTGGAGCCAATCGCATAGTAGTTCGAGGCCGAAAATATTGTAATAATCTGTGGAAGGTTTCAGAAGACGTAGGAGGAGTTCGTGGCTGATTAGCACAATTAGCACAATTCAATTAACAAAAACGCTGCAGTCGAGTTTCCCGACTATCAGATACCCTATACCAGATCAGATACCAGATACCATTTTTCTGGCATATCAATAGAAATGGGGAAAACAAATTGAACAAATGTAAAAAATTCAAAAGTGGGCGTTAGAAGGGGCGTGGCCAAAGACAAATAACAAAACGAAAAAAAAACAAAATGTTTTTCGCAGTGTGGGCGTGGCACCTTCCACCTGTTACATACGTGTCAACGAAACTAGTATACCGCTTTACCCTACGACTAATGGGTATAAGAATCAATACTTATGGCCGCTTATAATAATTATTATTCAACCGCAATATTTCCATTATCGACTAATTGGCTATGCACGTTAATTGCAATTGCATGACTGACAAGTCAAAGGAAGTTGTGGAGGTGGGGAGCACTCAAAATACTTGCAAATAAGCAAAATACTCGTAATGGATTTGAAGGCACCCACCTTGTTGTCATGCATAAACTCATGGCCATTGGGCTTGCACTCGTGGGATCGGATGACGTAGCTGAGGCGATGTCTCTGGAGAAAGTTGTCAGTCACATCCGGTCCAAACCACACACCAGCTCCTCTTAAAGTGTTCGGAACACAGCCCATGGTCGCCTGCGGGTCACTCCACATAATGTCGAAGATCTGAAATGGCACGTGCTAGATGTCCGCGTCAAATAAACAATCTTATCCAGGAATACCTGCTGCCACTCGGTTTTGTCCAGTGGTTCGCCATCCGTGAGCGGCGGTCGCAAAATGGACACGTACTGGGAGTTTTAAAAAGAAGGTAAGACCAGTTTCTCCATGCCTTGGAAAGTATATTTACCTTGCCCCTGTCAATACTCTTTATAAGATCCAGGCTTGTGCTATCCGAAAAACCCCCATGCACGATTAGGACCCTACTATTGAGAACCGAGCCTAGGGGAAGCCATCGGTAGACCTCGTCGATGAAGGCCAGGATTCGCTTGTGATTCCGCTGCGGAGAAAAGACACACAAGGGTGAGCAACATTATGTTTTACATCTGAAAATACGCTGTTTGGCACTTACAGGGTACTTGCTTTCCACCTCCCGGATAAATCCATATCGGGCATTCATGACACTGTCCTCGTGGTTTCCGCGGTTGAGGAAAACTGCGTTGGGAAAAGCCAAGTAAAGGGAGAGCAGCAGGAGCAGGACTTCCAGGCCCCGCTTGCCCCTGTCCACAAAGTCGCCATTGAACACGTAGGGATTGGAAGATGAGGGAAGACCGTTCTGCAAAGCAGGATTTATATTCAATTACCTATTATAACATCGAGAAGAAGTGCCCACCTTATGCAGCACCACAAGAAGATCGTCCAATTTCCCGTGAAGATCCCCACAAACCGTAACTTGCTGGGAAACCGCCGTGGACACCGGAGAAATATTGGGCAGCTGCTTCAGCGACTTGGCAGCTTCACGAAGAATCAGAGCCACATACTTGGGATGCAATCGGTTGCCCTGAAACCATGTGCATGTTCAACTGAATATTCAAAATCTTGGTTATTTGTAAGCTTCTTACCCGTTTCTTGCGGAAGACGTCAATCAATAGATCGATGTGGTTCTTTCGTATTGGCAACTCAATTTTGGCATTCACAATGTCCCCAAATTCTTCGACGAGATCGTCTTTTTCTTCCAAAACGGAAACTAAAAAGAAGGGCATTTTTGGTAAAATTATGTGAAGAAAAGATGTGAGAAGTTCAAGATACATTGCCAATAACTATCTCTGTGTGAATATAATACATTTTTAATATAAATGGGGCTTAAATATAATAATACTTTTTACGACTAAGTTCAAGATACAGTAAATTGCCATTAACTATCTGTGTGTGAATATCTCTGTGTGAATATAATACATTTTTAATATAAATGTGGCTGAAATATAATAATTCCTTTTACATTTAAGTTCAAGATACAGTAAATTGCCATTAACTATCTCTGTGTGAATATAATACATTTTTAATATAAATGTGGCTGAAATATAATAATTCCTTTTAGGATTAAGTTCAAGATACAGTAAATTGCCATTAACTATCTGTGTGAATATAATACATTTTCAATATAAATGTGGCTGAAATACAATAATTCCTTTTACGATTAACAATTCCTGCGCACGAGTAAAGCATTTATGAATTTATTTAAATAAATTTAAATAGTGCTCAATAAATAGAGGGTTTCCAGCACTTTGACACCTTGACTGGAGATTTTCAGAGGGATTTGCGGGAC